GGCTGGCATGTGGTGCTGGGGGATTGAACCGTGGTCCCTGTGCTTTGCCAAGCTTGTTCCAAGTAGGTGCTTTAGACCACTGAACCATCTCTCCAGCCCCTATTGGCATTATTATTGAAGTATCACTTACTGACTCTATTATTACTCACTGAAGACTTACCGGGTGACAGTTTTTATTTCGGTAGAACAAAATGTATTCTTTGTGAACACAGAAGAGCCAGATTAGATTCTGTTACAAATTTATGGCTATATAAACGTGTACTCGTAATACTGTTCAGTAAAACAGAGACAAGTAATACTATTTACATTTTTATGTGTGGAAAATTACTATCAATAATACTCAATAATACCCAAACTGGGGTGACCAAGAAATTTCAGAACTTAACCTTTGCTTGTAGAATACTAAATATATATGGGACTATGAGGCCCAGGAATACAGCTCAGTGGCATAAATGCCTACCTGGCAAGCTCAAGGTCCTGAATTCAATCCCTAGTGCAAAATATATATAACAAGGGAGATGTAAAAATGTATTCAATGTGATTGTTTCTCATATATATATAATATATATATGTACATCATAAATACTTATGATTTCTTTTAAGATAGAATGGTAAGCAATTTTTCCAAATATTTTAACTTTGAATTAAAGATCTTGGAAATAGACAAATACAACTTTTTCCTAGTTGGACTTCTCAATTACATTATTGTATCTTACGTTCTCCTAGTGCTTAATAACAGTGATACATATCACTAAATATTAAATGTTTTTAAGAATTACCTGCTATCAATTACCAAAATTGACTTAGATTTTAAAAGTACCTGCTTGTTCAAGATCATGCAACTATTAAGTAACAGAACTAGGTTCAAATTCAGGTCAAACTCAGAACCACACCCAATCCTGCAATGCTAGACATAAAACAATTAAAGAACAAAGAAGACTGTTGTCTGGGCAGAGTAAAACAGATGGCTTCTCCTCTGTTCCAGTCCCAGAGTACCACCTTGGTGCTACACCAAGGATACACACAACAACCTGGATTAGACACTGTGGACAAGACAGGATAAATGTAGGACTTCAAAACAACATTTGAGTATCAAAAAGGAAGTCTGAGAAGAAACCAGTCAGGAAATCACTGAACAATCTAGATTAGAACCCCTCCAATCAAATCCCTCTAACCCAGGATTATAATACTAGAAAGGGTAAATATTTAAGTGATAAAATCTCATGACAAAAAAGAACTGTGGAATGAAGAGCAAACTCTTCAATGAAGCCCACTCAAGTTGCTCATGGGCAGCAGAGGGGAGGGGTGGAAATCACAGGGCACTAAAAGAATTAGCACAGGAATTCAGCTTACCAGCTTGTCTAAATTCAAACCCTTGGAATTTGGGTCCCGCCCAATGGCCCATAGCAGGCAGTCCACTTCTGAAATTGAGGTCAGAGTGGGTTTCCTACCAGGAAGTGCAGTAACCACGCTGAGTTCCAGGCCTGTAGAAGTTTTTTTAACTTCCTTGACCTATTGACAAATAAGATGTATTTAAATGAGTGCTGCAGGGCATGGGGAGAAAGTAAGGAGGAAAACAAATAAACAGGAAAACAGAATTTTTAACATTAAAAAAAACACAAAACCCTATGCTGGAGTTTCTAGCTGACACAGACATTCACTTTCACCAAAGCCACCACCACCAGCACATCTGGAGACAGGGCTGCTTCCTGAGGGGCCTTTTCTTTGTGGTGCTGGGGACTGAGCCCAGGGCCATCTGTGCAGTCTACACCACACCACTTTTTAAAAAAGTTTGTTTAAAAAAACTGTGAGTTTCCTAGATTGCTAAATTATCTGGGCTGGACTCAAACTTGCAGTCCTTCTGCCTCAGCTGTCCACAGCACTGGAATGCTGGCATGTGCCACCATGCTCAGCTTCCTGAGTTGCCTTTTAACTGTTCCAGCTAATGACCAACAATGTCAACTCATGTCATCATTGCAATGCTTCAACTTTGAGAAAGCATTTTATTTATTTATCTTTTAAATTTTATTTATTTTGTGTGTGTGTGTGTGTGTGTGTGTGTGTGTGTGTGTGGCCAGCTCAGCCCACCAGGGGGAGGGGCTGGCTGGCATGTGGTGCTGGGGGATTGAACCGTGGTCCCTGTGCTTTGCTAAGCTTGTTCTAATTAGGTGCTTTAGACCACTGAGCCATCTCACCAGCTCCTGAGAAAGCATTTTAAGGCAAGCATGGTGGTGCACACCTGTAACCCAGCACTCAGGAGACTGAGGCAGGAGGATTGCTGTGGCTTTGTGCAGTACAGGGGATTGAACTAGGCACCTCGTGCTTGCCAGGCAGGCATTCATGCCTGCTGAGCTATTTTCCTGGCCTGAGGACTGCTGTTTGAGGCCAGCCTGGGCTACTAAGTGAGTTCAAGTATTTTAAAGTATACTCTTTAAAACTGTGATATTTAAGTAATAAATATAACTACAGTGATTTGAAGTGGGCCATAGCAGTGTTACAAAAATATTTCTCAAAACTCCGTAATTTTTTTTTTTCCTTTTTTTCTTTTTGCGGAACTGGGGATTGAACTCAGGCCCTTGGGCTTGCCAGGGAAGCAATTATTCCACTGAGCCATCTCCCCGGCCCCTTTTTTCCCTTTTTGAGACAGGGTCTCACTATACAATTCAGGCTGGCCTTGGGCTCACTTTATAGCCCAGAATGGCCTCAAACTCCAAAAGATCCTCCTGCTTCAGCCTTTCTAGCCTCCCCAGTGCTGGGATTACTGGTGTGTGCTGCAACTATGCCCAGCATAGTCATTGCTTTTCCCTGAACAAACTTAATCAGAGTGGGAAAAGGAGTACGAATCCAGGCAGGACAGCCAGGCACACATAGTCATCCCTGGGTATCTGCTTAGGAATTGGTTTCAGGACTCTCCAAAGATATCAAAACACAAGGATGCTCGAGTCCTTTACATAAAATGCTATAGTATTTGCATATAATTTATGAACATATTCCTATATGCTATGCCATCATCAGATTACTTTACTGCTAAATGCAATGTAGTGCCTGAATTTGGGAGGCTGAGGCTGAAAGATCACTCAATGCAAGTTTAAGGTCAGTCTGGGCTACATAGCGAGTTCAGGGTTGCCTGAATTACATAGCAAGACCCTGTCTCAAACAACAACAACAACAACAAAATGCAATGTAAATGTTATGTAAATAGTGGTGAGACTGTTAATATATAGGGAATTGTGGCAAGAAAAAAATGTCTGTACATGTTCAGCAGATCCCATTCTCCCCAAACATTCAAGATCCCCGGCTGGTTGAACTGACTGCATGGTGCTGTGTGGGCCCTAGGAGTCTAGAGGTAACACTTTCTGCTAGTCTAGCATTTTTA